TATATATAAAACTGATCATACAAGTTATTCTACATCTTGCATGATGGATCATGAAAGAACTTTATAGTGGACAGATGATATATGAACGAATTCTAGAGTTAGATAAGATGTACTTAAATAGAAAAAATGCATTTATTACTATAGATAACCACAATTAGTTGGAAAGTTGATAATTAATTTGTAGTAAATGGATGAAAGATGTGTTTTTACTTTGATTAATATATTGACAAGTGTAAAAATCAAGAGAGACAACTAAGGGAAAGAATTAATGTTATCCATATGTCATAATTTTATATGGGTAGGTGGATAAATATGAAAAAAAATATTTATTTTGTCATTGACAAATATATGTTATTATCGTAACGTTGTTATAACGGACACTTACACAATCATCACTATTAAAATAACTTTGATAAAAGAAACGATTTTTATAATTAAAGTAAAATATTTTAATAGCATAATCTAGATGTAAATACAACTATATTTAAATATATATAGATTTCTGACGGGGTTATGACGTAAATACAACTATATTTAAATGTATAGATATAGATTTCTTATGGGTTTATTCGAAACAAGAATATATATTTTCATATCTAACATCTAAATGTTAAAACCATAACCCTTCAACTTTAATTTTTATTTTTATTTATAACAATTTATATTATAGAATTAATTTGTAAACTTTTATATGTTAAACAACAATAACATTTAACTTTTTTTTACATTTTACATTACTGAATAATTAAGTTTTTACATTTATTATATTTTACATATATTAATTTATTCCAAAAGTTTATAACTATAATTTATGTATTATGTTTTAGAAGTTATACCGTTGAATAGATCTTACAAATATCTTCAAATTATATAAATATTGAATATATTACAATGTCACAAAATTATAAGATCAATTAAAAACAATATTATAATATGAATTAATCGCAAACCTACAAAATAAAATAAACACTATGTCATAAAATTTATAAGAACATTTAAGAAATATTAAAAATGGTGAGCCCCATTCAAAACTAACCTACTTTTACTACATATTTTTAAAGTAACCTATTTCTACCGTAACATTAAAAAACAAGCCTATTTAAAAAACAAATAAAAAAACACCCCTTGCATAATCATCAACTATTAAAAAGAACTTTGACAAAAAAACCAACATTTATTATTAAAAAGGCATTTTACAATATCATAATCTAGATGTAAATACAACTATATTTAAATATGTGATCTATGTATAAAAAAATTTATTAATGAAATATCTTTTTTAAAGAGTTGAATAGAAGTTATTTTAGAAATCATATTGTCAAATACTTTTTTCACTTATTAACTTATCAAAAATTTTGACTTATTAACTTATCAAAAACAGAATAAGTTGGTTGTTTTTCCAAACAGCATCTCAGTCAAGCTTGACATATACAAGAAGAAGTCAAGAAGAAGATGTGGACTATTTCAAGATTCTCAACAACATAGTGTGATAGTATTAAAAAATGGTGATTATAAGTACACATTTATAACTCTAAAGGAAAAAAAAATATTATTATAAATATTTTATGGTCACCATTTAATTTGCCTGTGAGTGAGTACATGTACACAATATTCACAATAATATTAAACATGTCGCTAAACATTATTAGTAATCATAATAAAATGAAATAACACGTGAGTATAGACCATTTTTGGTGATAGATTATATTTTTATTTGTCGATATATGTAAGCAATAGTAATGATAACCATTAAACATATTAGGAAAGATAACTTATGCCGATAGCTTAATTACATTTGTGTCTCCAAAAGTCAACAATGGTTGCGATTATATTTATAAACGGTGACTATAAGTAAACATCTATCATTCTATAGGAAAAATAAGCACCTCATTATAAATGTATTATTAATTATGGTTATCAAAATAAGATAAATACATCTCCAAAAATTCTCTAACATATAATGACAGGTTTGACATATAACAATGGGTTTTCAACGGTTATACTAGTAACATCCAGTTTCGAAATGTTTCTTATTTCAGGATTGTAGACCATAATTTTATAGCGTAAAGGTATTGGGATTCAACGGAATAAAATTTAGACCTTTTTAGATGTTGATAATGTTGGTTAAGTGAATAAAACCCTTGAATTGCGTATTGGAGTCAAAAAGATAAAAGTGATATTTCATACTTATGACATGCCCAATCTTATGGAAAATTAAAAACCTTTTTTATTCTTATCTAAAGTAAAGTATTCTTTTAATAATGTAGAATTTGTCCGATAACATTATTAAAGTGAGATAATATCAATATCGAAGCATTTCCGATTAAACGTTCTTTTTATTAATATTTAAAAGTTTGGGATATCATAAACGATACAGAAACATAAGCATAAAATAGTGTTTACAAGCCTTACAACAATTCATTTAATGTTCTAAAAACTCCTTAAATCTCTCAGCAGATTCAAACATAAATATTCATGTATCTTCATACCGCTACATGTGATACAAAGAAATAGAGTGGGTCAGGCTTGAGAGCCTAGTGAGCACATATGGATTTCAACCCACAATAATATGATTATAATCTTTTAAATATATATTTCGCACCAAACAAACAATCTGATTACCCAATCCAGTTGTTCTCACTCTCTTATCCTAAAATGATGATCTCAAGTAACCAATCCTGAAGGATCATTATAAGTAACGAGTATATAATAATGCTTCGGGGATTCCATTAGCAATATATGTAAGTAAGGATAGATTACATGCATGCACATTCTTTCTTTTTCCCTGAAAAGCATGATCATTAACACCTACAGGTGGCGAGCATGCTTATGTTTCAAAAGATTGTCTAGGATAGTCAGTGTTAGTACAATGCATGACCTCACCATCTATGGAGTGTATTAGTGATGTGAAAACTAGAATGGTTGGAGTAACGAAGTATTTTGATGAGAAGCGATAGCGAGGATATGTATTGTTTTGACTGGAGACTTATAATACCGAAGATTTCTGAGGCAGTGCAAAGTGTTGAAAAGAACTTTTTTCTATTGTGGATACCGCAATGTCAGTAACGTAGTGATCACCATTTTTGACTTTGTGTGTTGGGTTGGTATTGCCAGCATGGCCATCTAAATCAGTGATTAATTTTGTATTATCTTATTGTACACTTGTACTATTTCCTTCTATAATTAGACAATCTTACTATCGATAGAGAGTGTGTGTTTGATTCCATCTTCATTGTAACATTATCACTTTAAAATACAAGTCTCCTTATTATTCATAGTTTGTTGTTCAACGTTTCATAACTTGTGTTTGGTTGCAAACCAAGTTATGATTCAACAAGTATCTCTTAACTTGGTTATCTGTAATGATGTATATTGTTGTTATATTTCCTTTATAATTTCGCTATCTTTTATTATTGAGCTTTATCAAAGATCCATGAGATTAACTTAAATTCCTCACCATAATCTCTTTATCATTAGGTTCTTCTCTCAACAATTGGTATTAGAGCCAAAGTGGTTGCTTTT